TGCTTATCTTTTTTAGCAGTAGGTATTTGCGACGTGGTCACACAGCACCTTGCACATTCTAAGTGCTTATGGGTATTAACTACCCGAGTGAACGTTAGACCACGTGCTCCCGGCCTCACAGAGAACGGTTCGCTACTAAGAAGAGTAGATTTAAGACTGATGTATTTATAAGTAAGGTTAGCTTGGGTTCTATACAAACTAGAGGTTACCTATAGTGGAGCTAAGTAGTTATGCTCTGACTGGCTCCGAGAGCACCTGGTACCGTGTACCAGGCGTCCATAAGAGTGACGGGTCACTCTTTACGTAACCTGGGGCACACTACATTGTACCCCATTACATCCTCCCCCACTTAAATGAGAATCACCTGATTCTCCAATCACAACTGAATTCACCTTTTGGTGTTTTAATTCTCTCACTTCTCCAATTGATTGGCGATCAGAAGTGAGAGAATTAAAACACCAAAAGGTGAATTCTCACACTGAGCAGCCACGAGACTGGCGCGGCTCTCAGTCACACCCACAGTGACTTGTGCTCCCAAAGCTCACTGGGATTTGCATCCCTATGCTCACAACTGTGTTGGCCGCAAAGCCTACACTCAAAGCTGCATTATCTCCTGCGCTAGCGCGCGTACAGTGCTTTGACACAGGGTGCAATAGCATCCGAACGTGTGGCATTCGCTCACAGCTCGCACCAGAGGACACGACAGTCCTCGCGTACGCGTCCGGAGCATGGTGTCTCCCGCGAGGGACGACACCGAGAAGGGCAACATCTTCCCCAGCACTAGAGGGGGCTATCCGCTCACCTTGGGCCATGCCTTTGGCTCCAGCAAGGATCCATCCTTGCGAGCAGAGCTTCTGCCACGCTCTCTTCGCATCTTGGCCGTCATACCAACGGCGCGTAGGTGTCCTTCATCGACACCGTGTAGCGTGACGGTACACAGCTGTGGCGTAGATGTCTCCCATCGACACCATGTACTGTACGGTACTAACCTTTGGTGCGGTAAGCCCACCACAAGGTTGCCATGCTTGGCGGCAACAGCTTCTGCTGTGCTGTCGCCTGAACTGAATCATGGCCAGTGCTCGCATCGTGCACGACGCATGTGCAAGCACAGTGTACACGTCCACAGGTCCGTACACGAGGTACGCTGTGTACGACACGTACCACAGCTACCATAAGTGCTCCGTACACTTCAGGTGTGTCATGCACGACGAGTTCGTTACGTGGAACCCTCGGCCGCTGCTCGACATCAGCCAGTGCCGATGCACGGAACGTGCGTTGACTCACAGCGTATACGCCCAGTGCGCATCGGGTCGTGGTATGGTGCATATCCTTTGCACCTATTCCAGTGTCTGTCACAGACACCATGTACCTTGATGGTACTCGACCGTGGTGAGGCATATCTCATCACCATGCCACTGTGGCGTTGGTGTCTGGCATTGACACCGAGTACTCACGGGTACCAAACCATGGTGAGGCAAGCAGCCATCACCACGGTGTCATGCTCGGTGCGGCACCTGTTACGACTGCGTGCGTTGCCTCGACCACCACCTGGTCGGTTGTGTGTGCACTCG